CCTGGCTTGAGTTTTTCTAAAGTCAGATGCCAGAGGAAGTTATACAACAAATTACAGGGTAAATAAGACACCCTGATTCGATTGAACCTTAAAAAACCTACACATGAATGCAGATGTGAACAGTTCGCAGCCTCACTGCGAGTGCATAAAAGAATTAACCTGTCAGATATTTGTATGCTTTTCAATGTTAAAAGAGAGTTTGTGAGCAGGTATTCACATTTAAAACGCTGCCTATATTGTTACACCACTCCCTGTGAACTCAGAACTAGCTAGCTACCAGAAGTAATACAGTTTTAAAGACATAAACAGAGAGGAACAAGCATGGTGTGTTATTTTCACTAAAAAATCCATGATCAATGTAAAAACAACACATGCACCCTAATAAATCCAGTACAAGATACATTAATCTAATGACCATTAGTAAAATAAGTTGTATCACACCAATCATTATTCTAAATATTTGTTGAAAATATGTCAGAACAGACTGGAGCCCACTTATGCTCCCCCAAACAGGAGCTGCACGGCGTCACACCCCTCCCAGTTAACTTTTCATCACGTTGTGTGCTGTGGAACAGTGGGCACAGCTCTCCCACAACCTGGGGAAGTCCTCCAGCAGAGCAGGGAGGCCCTACCAGCACCACCAGTCTGGCTGTTCTTAAACAAACACGGCAGCTGCCACCCGGCTGTGCGAGCACCCCACACACCCACGGGAGCTGTGCTGGGGCACAGCCCCGGGCAGAACTCCCTGCAGACAGCAAACCCCAAAGAAAACTTGGAAGCTACCAGGGATATTCAAGAGCTATTCTATTTTAGAAGTATCAGAGTTATGAGGAGTAGGGGATTAAGTCTACCTGCTTTCTTGGGAAGAAAAGAAGGCATAAGGATATATATATATAACAAAATTCTAAGGGCTCAGTCTTTGCCTAGCGTCCTCCTCCTTTCTCCTCCCCATGCAGACACGAGTGCTGCTTGCTGACATTCAGCACCTCAGTAAATCATGTCTCTTAGGAGCACAGACATCTCCTAAAGCCAGAACCACGCACTCACACCCCGCTCATCCCTGAGGGAAGCCGGCGGGAACTAAGCTCCCCTTTCCACCGCAGCTTCACCAGGCCAGCACTAAGTTGAAACGACTCGCTGACAAACAAGGGGTGAACCTTGATGGATAAAAAGGTCTTTTTTTTTTTTTCCCCGAGCTGGAAGTGCCCCCAGCTCGGGGGTGAAGGAAACGCGGCCGCTCTCCCTC